CTACCCCAGTTACCACTACTGTACATGTGTGTCAAGGACAGAAAGGCAGATGTGGCAGTGGAAGGTGTCAAAGCAGTTTGGAGAGAAAAACAAAGTAGAGAACAACAACAAAAAAAGAAAACGATTAATCGATTATTAAATTAGTCATCGATTAATTTTAATAATCGATTAGTCGTCGATTAATCGATAAATCATTGCAGCCCTAATCAACGTATAAAAAAGAAAACACAAAAATAATGTTACAATGTTTGATTGTGCTTTGATGTAAATCACTGCTTGAACTTTAACTGTGAAACCACAGTAATTGACTATAGATTTTTAAGTTTATAAATTTTACTTAACTAAACTTTGCATTATAGTTAAGCTTTTTTTTGAAACATTTTATAGTTATTTTTATTTGAATCATTATAATGAATGTTTTATATGAAATAATTATAAAATGAGTTTAACCCCTACACTATGCATACAGAATCAGTGCCAAAACAGCAATTAATTTTTAATATTCTATCAATAAAGACAATCAAAGTAGAGTAATGTCTGGTTCCAAATATAAACAAGAGTTTAGCACATCTAATTCACCAAAACCTTGTTAGAATCCTGTGTAAGATTTAAATTTACAGATATTTATGATAACCTACAACTATTACAACCTGACACCTTGGCAGAAAGAACATAAAAATTTAACAAAAAAACAAAACAATAGTTACACCGAGGCACACTTTTCTTTTAACCCTGGTCATGCTAATCAACATACTTTACTGTTAATGGTCAATTCCCTAAGGTAAAGCAACATAAACAGAAAGTCCAACAGGCTGCTCGCCCCCACGGCAGCTGATCTAGTTTTGCCTGGGGTTGCCTTATGACAGCTTATACCTCCGCATAATAACGTGCTGCAACTTAATCTAAAATTAAACCTTTCTTACATCAGCAATGTTTATTTCTTTTCACAAGCTGATTTGTGTCATCGTGTGACAGCTGCCCTGTTTGCAGTTTGCTCTAACAGGGTGTGCATAAGTTAGCAAAACAGTATGTACACATCCAAAAGAGGCTCCTAATTTCTTTTTGTTCTCCTTTTCAGCGTGTTTGCAGATGTCTGCATAAGTTGTCTAAAACTTTATATTGCAAACATGCCTTAAAGTTTTAAGCAAAACTCTTGTGCAATGATTAGCACCTTAGCTATAATCACACCAAATTATATCACAAAATCTGTAAAATTGACAGAGTTTACGTCGTTTTGTGCTTTGTAAGTTCATTTGGCTGTGGTGGCCATCTTGGATTGGGCTGACTCAAAACATTAGTCGGTATAGAGGTACCACATTGGCAGAATCCTTCCAGTTGTTAATGAGATATAATAAAACTGAATTTTCAGTGTTTGTGACATCAAGTGTCTGAGAAGAGACAAAGGTGTTCATGACAAAACTGAGACAGCTGTGATAACTGGGACTGTTTTGCACTACTTACACAACCACATTATTCTGCACACTTCATGGATGGGTGGACAGGAAGAAGCTGGTGAAAGAAAACATATGCAGAAAAGTTTTAAATAGTTCCTCAAACATGTGGTAGAAGATAGGGGTGCACAGATTGTAGTTTTCTGGCTGATCTCCGATTACCAGTCTTTAAAAAATCTGACCTGCCGATTTATGATTTTAGCCCGATTTTTTAATAATTAGCTAACAGGTGTTATAAGGTCAAATACTCCTTCATTGCTCCATCTTATTAACAAAAACCCTAACCGTAACAACACCCTTGAAACAAAACAACCTTGTTTTAACTGGACATTAGGCAGTATCACAGCAGAGCAAAAAGGGACGGTGGCTGATTTTCAGACCTTTGTGGAGGTAGAAAAGCCAATCTTTTCTGCTGATCTTATCTAAGGCTCGGCCGAGCTCCGATCTCCCAAAATTAAGGAAATCGGCTTTACCAGTGCACCCCCAGTAGAAGGTGCTGTGTTCAAACAAGACTAGGGCTGGGCAATAAAACAATAACTTATCGCAATAGTATGGAGTATTAGGGCCACATAACTAGTTTTTTTTTTATTATTATTACGAGAATAAAATCATAATATTATGAGAATAAAGTCATAATTTTACTAGAATAAAGTCGTAATATTACAAGAAAAAAAACATCATAATTTTACATGATGTGTCCATTTTCTATTCCTCATTTCCTCCTTATTTTCCCCACACCTGTTGTGTACAGCCATGTGTGTTTGTGTTTGTAAAGTAGTCCATGATGACCTGAGTCACTGGTAGATTAATATGCTTTCATCCAAATTAGCTACGTGACGACTAAATCTGTCAATGCAATTATTATTATTATAATTATTATTATTAATTATAATACAGCTTCAGTTTATCATACAGTTGTTTGCACAATTTCCAAGTCCTGCTACTGATAATTTGATGCCAATGTGTTAAAAGATTATTTATTTATAGCGATACAAAGAACAACTTGACAAGTTGTTCAACATTCCTCATTTTAATGCTGTGGTAACTGCATGCTTTTTCATGTAAAGGGTATAGTATTATGACTTTAATTTTAGAATAATATGACTTTAATCTCGTAATATTACGACTCTATTTTCATACGACTTTAATGTTGTAATATTATGATTATGCTCTCGGAATTTAATTTTTTTTAAAAAATCTCCTTGTGTGTCCCTGATACAATAGACACTTGTAACTNGGTATAGTATTATGACTTTAATTTTAGAATAATATGACTTTAATCTCGTAATATTACAGCTTTATTTTCATACGACTTTAATGTTGTAATATTATGACTTTACTCTCGGAATTTAATTTTTTTTAAAAAATCTCCTTGTGTGTCCCTGATACAATAGACACTTGTAACTTTTATTAGTAATTTAGTGGAAATTTTGTTTTCATAAGTTGACATAAGTTGTTGGAAAAAGTTGTAGTGTGACAGGGCCCTAAGCAAGGTTTGAGGCATCAAATAACTCAATCTTTGGAAGGGGGGCAACCACCTGTTGAGTAACATGCGCAGTGGTTTTATGTTTCACCATCGTTCATCCAGAGCTGCTTAAAATAAATGAATAACATGGAGTAAAAAAATAGAGTCCAACAGCTCGAGAAGAAATTGTGGATAAAAGAGGAAAGATCACAAGTTTGACAGAATTAATCTAGTAAAACAACAAACTAATCAATACATTATCAATCGATATTGTCTGATATGCAACGCTTGTGTTGTGATCCATTTTTCAGCCCGACATGAGACTAAAGTGGAACATTTTGTCCATTAAAACCACCATGTTTGGTACAAATCTTCTACAGTTCATCATGCAGAGAACAGTGTTCCCCACAGGAAAGCTTGGTGGTGGCAGCCATTGATATATATACTACTGGATTGGGCGTGGCTAGCGCGTTGCTAGCTACATTGACGTGCACACACTGGAGCTCTGTTATGCATTGAGGAGCCTCAACAAAATGTTAATATTTATTTATATGCTTTTGCTGTAAACTACAATAATTTTAACATCCGTAAAAACAAACTAAAAAATACAAATTATTTCATTTCATAAATAATCGTTTTAATGAATTAATTTTTATTACAAAGAATTCTTCAGTTTCACAATGATGCAGGCTGTATCTGAAGCTGACCCACAGCTGGCACACGTTTTTTTCCTCCTTTTTCTCTGGAAATGTTGAAAAACACAAATACTGGATGTAGACAATATCTGAATAAACCAGCCTGTCTGACAATGTGACTATTTATGTTTATGATGCTCAATCATTACATTAGTGTCTGTCATTAGTGAGTCTACATCATAATTTCTGAATTTATATGCAGTCTAACTAGTCAACAATCAAATAAAGTCGATATTTACATGTTTAATATCAGTAAATAGTATATTTGACAACAGAAAAATGATTTTAAGTAAGGTTAAACATGAACATTGAAGCTGTTTAATGTTAGCATACAGGTTTTACAATTAAAATAATTAATTTTGTTTAAATATGCATAATATTTACCTGTGAAACATAACACTTATCTCTTGTAAACATGTAACAATTTCTGCAGTTTATTGTAAAGTATTTGTACCATTTGTACGTTTATAACGTGTTTGTTTGCACCACGCTACGTTCTGCTCATTGATTTCAATGGTTAGCGTTAGCATTAGCTCAATGCATAAAAATCCCCCTTGCAAAGCCGCGCCCAGGTCACGTGATGCCCACTCCGGTAATATATATCAATGGTGGCAGCAGCATGCTGTAGGTATGGAAATGGTTCAGTCTCTGTGCTGATTTATTTCTGCTTTGTTTTCAGGACGATGGCTAAAAGATAACCTCAACTGACACATATCCTCAGCCCCACCTTCCCCTCCTGCAGCTCTTCGGCCCGTCAGATTTCATGGAAGGCATACGTCATGTTTTTAAACTGACCGTCTGTCCTCCTCCTCAACTTATACACAAAATGAAATCATAATCATGTGATTAGCCACAAACTCCCAGCACACCTGGAGTTATTACTTTGATTTGTGCCACTCTGGTCCCATCATCATCTCCCTACCAAATCCTTTTTTTTAGTGTTGTTGGGCCATGGTTCGCACAAAAGGTTCTATCATACTATGTGGTGCTTTCCTGTTTGTGGCCTGGAATGCTTTGCTTCTGCTTTATCTTTGGGGCCGACCTCCCATTGGCCGCCCTGGAGAGGGCGGCGGAGCCGAGCCCGGCGGAAAGGAGGAGTGGGGCGTTGGCCGAGAGCGAGTAGGCCGGGTTAACCTCGCTGAGGAGATGATCCGGCTGGCGGAGGAGGTTGAAGTCCAGCTGGATACTCAGAAGAAGCTGCTAAAGCAGATTGAAAGTCACAGATCGGCGTGGGCTCAACAGGAGAGTGTTGGGAAAAGGGAAGTGGATTCTCTGAAAAAAGTGAAAGAGGTGGTCATCCAGCCGCCGGCGCTTAAAACTCCAGGTTTTCTTTTAAATGATCTAAATACTGGACAGCAAACTGATGGGAAAACTTCACAAAAACTGGATTGGACAGCAGCTCCCAGCTCCCCCTTTAAGGACTCCCAGGAGAAGATTGTGAACGCTGAAGTGACGACTCCTGCACCCGGCCCAGAATCCATCATCCCCATCCTGGTTATCGCCTGCGACAGGGTGACGGTGAGGCGGAGCCTCGACAAACTCATTCAGTACCGCCCTTCTGCCCAACTGTATCCAATCATTGTTAGCCAAGACTGCGGCCACGCCGAGACGGCCCGTGTGATCGGGTCATACGGAGATCAAGTGACGCACATCAGCCAACCAGACCTGTCGGACATCAGAGTCAGGCCAGAGCACAGGAAGTTTCAGGGCTACTACAAAATCGCCAGACATTATCGATGGGCACTCAACCAAGTGTTCAGAACCTTCTCTCAGTCCACGGTGGTCGTAGTGGAGGACGATCTAGAGGTGAGTGCTCCTGTGTGTCGACATTAAAGGATATGTTTCTATGTTTAAGTTATAATCAGTATCTTACCTGTTGTAGATACTGCTTTGAACAACCTCCATTTGGAGAAAAAGTTTAATTCTGACCAGGCGATGGTTGGCATGAGACGATATAAGTTTGAGCAAAAGTTTCAGTTTTACAGGTTAAAACCCAAATTTTAAAATGTTTAAATGGAGGCTTTGCAATTTAATAAAACGTGACAATTCATAAGCTAAAAACACCAGAATTAGCCAAAAGGCTACTTTTTAATTTGAATGTCTGTTGGCCATGATGTTTAAAAAGGAATAGAAAAGTAAAAAAGTTAAGTGAAAAAATGAAGTGAAAAAAGTGAAAAAGTTAAGTG